TGATATGATATGATATGATATGATATGATATGATATGATATGATATGATATGATATGATATGATATGATATGATATGATATGATTTAATATGACTTGATATGATTTGATATGATTTGTTATGATTTGATATGATTTGATATGATTTGATTTGATTTGATATAATTTGATTTGATTTGATAGTTTTTTAATTATACTCGTAGATGGATAACTTTAACTAAGTGTCATTAAGGACCTTACTAATTCTTTCAAAAACCATATTTACCATATAAGTAACATATATTACTTAAAAAAACAAATTTTTTCAAAACAATGTATATATCTATAAAATCAAACTAATCTCTTTTGTATTTATTCTTCTAACACATTATGTTTTATTAATATAATTTGTGATATGATAATAAAATTTGACAAAACATGTACATGAATAAACATACTCGTATACCAAAAATGGGAACAGCTTTATCGATTGATTTATTAATAGAAATTCAGGCAGTCAGCTATGTGGGCGTCATAATGATTTGACCAAATGTAGTTAATTTATTTTAACAAAATTACAAATAATTTATATCTTTTATCTTTAGCCAAGAAAACAAAACAATCATAATAACGTTTTATTAATTAATACATCAAAAGCAACAACCATAGTTGGAAGAGTCTGACTTCCCAATTCAAGCCATAGACAACGGCATCAGCATCAACATTAGCATTAGCATTTTGGCATTGTTCGCTGCACCGCACAATGTAAGAAAAAATCTTTTATCCACAAATGAAAGAAATCAATAATGGCTATTATTAATTTTGAACTTGATATTGAGATATTGAGTATCATATGCAGAAATATAATGGCAGGAAGGTCATTAACACATTTAATTAGCATTCTTTTCTCTTGTCAAACAATAGCCATCAGATAACAGCAAATCTAACCCATTCAATGCAGTCGAGCAGTCACCAAAGTCGGAACCGCTACAGTCACGAATAATCCGACTTACGCTCACAAGATACTTTGACTCCGAGCCTTTTGAAATATTTACTATTCTCCAACATAATTAATTTGTTAAAGAATTTATTTAAATCTAACAAATTTTCAATCAAATGCAAATACAAATGTATTATTTTTTTAATTTTTTTAATATTTTATTTTATTTATTTTGATGCTTTAATGCTGGCATTTGTTATTTCAAACATTTACATTGATCTGGGCGCTTTAATTTGTCGTGGTCTTCCGTGGTCTATTGTTATTTAATGTGGGCTCTCATAATTGTGTTATAAATATTAAACTAATATATCAATATTTTAAGTAATTATTAACAAATTATTCGATTTTATCTATTTCTTACGTTTAAATGATTAATTATTATTTCATACACAATTAATGCTTTTGCTGACATTTAAAGAAGTTAATGAAACTGTTGATTTTAACAAATTTATTTCAGATTCTTTTAGCATTGGCTAATTGTTTAATTAATTTTATTTAATTAAATTTTGAAATTGCAATTATAAATCAAAGAAGGTTAAAATACTTATTTCAACAAATATTTTTTTTTTAATTTTTATTTGAACAAATTTCGATTTAATTGTTAAAATTATTAGTGCTTCTCAGATTTAGATTTAAACTCATTTATAATCTGAAAAATTTTATAAAAAATGGTTGTATCTGAAAATAATAAAATACTTCTTGAATGATTTAAAAGAATAAGTATATCTTTACAAAAAGTTAGGTCTTATTTGCTGCCATATTATTAAAGTGAAGAAAAATTCCTTTTTCCATAAACTTGGAACTATTTTTCAGATCTAGAAAAAGATGTACATGAAATATTTTTTTTAATATTTGCGTATTAAAAATTGTATCTTAGTTTTTTATGAATGTCATTATTCCCAAAATGTTACTCAAAATGTTGCTCAAAATGTGCACAGGATGTAAATAAAAACCCGCTACGATTGTTGATGTCCACACAATTCAATTTGTCAAAGCTGTCTAAAAGTATTTAAAAAAATCAAACAGAACGAGTGCGCTTCAAGGATAAGGATTAAAATTGTTTAGGATTATAAGTGATTCCGTCTAAATAATCCAGAGGAATAGGCTTCCACTTATATGTAATCTTATCTGACAAAAAAAACCTATTGTAGCAAGTTTTTTATATCATCTATTCGTAAGTTGTTCGGATAGTAATTACTTTTTTTTTAATCAATAGATTTTTATTCAATATTTCTATTCAATATTCAATAATATTTAATTAAATTATACGAATGTGTACATTGTCCATTGAGGTTCGATACCAGAATGTCATTTTCCTGACAGTAATATATACATACCCATAAAATATTTTTTCTCTTCTGAAAAAAATTGTTTTAGTCAATTTGTATCATCTTGTTGTGAAGTAAAGATCATCTTATATTTTACTATCAAAAAAATATTATAGAGACTAGAATAAGCAATAACTAGTTATTAAGAAAATATCGTGGGCGTGGCAGTATTTTTCAACCAATCTATAACAGAGTTTCCAAATTTGTATTGGATCTGACATTATCATAATGGAACACAATACTATTTTAATTAATCAATTCTCGCCTTTTTTATATAAGTGAGTCATTAAATTTGTCCCGGTGATAATATCATACATCAAAAGTGATCGTCTATTTTGTCCGGTTGTCCAGTTCAATGAAAAATGATTCCTTTGAAATCTCATCAAATATATATCATTACCATTTTGTGACAAATTTTGGCTTTGAAAGTGCTTTGACCAGGTTCATCTTTTTTACACTATAATCTTTGGCTCTTATCACTCTTGTAGATAACTAATTTTTCATCCATTTCATTTTCATTAATATGTTTCAGAAATAGATTACAATAATAATGCTTGAAAACCATATCACAAATGTCAATTCGACGGCATACATTTTTTATACAAAAACTTGAGAAATCAATATGTCGTGCTTTAAGATTGAAACCAGGCATCTCAAAGGATTATGAACAGCTAAATTCGCTCAATTTAATGTCTCAGCGATAATAATATATTCAATAACTTTTTTTCCAGGCAAACACATTATAAATCGTGATCCTTACAGCTGCATGTGGATTTTAGAATATATGGGTGTAGAAAATATGAGAACTCCATAGATCGATTTTTCAAACAACACAGTATTTCTTTTTCTATCTTTTAGGTATAAGAATTTTCCAGTTGAGTACTTTCACCAAAACGGTGATATGAATTCGACATTAACATCATATGATTTTTTGATATAACATCATGTGATATAATTGACTTTATTTTTGTTATTATATTGCTCGAACTCAACACATTGTCAACATTTTAAAAATAAACATTCATCAATTTTTAACCGTGCTAATATCAGCTATGCGCCGTCTCTGTCATTGAAAATTATCTTAAAGGGATCCAATTCCTTAAGATGTTTAATTGAACTCATTCGATCCAAATATTATATGACTAGAGAATAAAAATTTTGATTGAAATTCAGTCATCATAAATGTGTTTTACTACCGTTTACTTTCAGAACCACAAAATTAAATTTTTATTCGCAATCTTTAAACTAGTCGAATATAAGATGAGAAAGCCTTTATGGAAGATCTTAAAATTTTTTTAAAAAAAATTGTTTATTGATTTTATACAGAATTCTTATGTTTCTAATATTCCATAATCTTTTTTTATTTTTTAATAATAATTTATGGTGTTAATAACTTTAAAAATTAGGAGAACATGTTATAGTTCCAAATAATTCTTGAAACTGATAACCTGTTCCACATTTTTCTTTGGCATGTGTAAAAATTTTCCGAGAAGAAATTAACAAGTTCTAATGAATATATGTGTATACAAACCATAGTTTTATAATACATAGCGAAGGGATTAAAATAGTATAAACAAATAAAATTACTGTTTTATTAATGTTTAAAATGTTTTGTTATTCTTAATTCTTATTTATTTGTGAATTTTCTAAATAATATTTATTAATAAAAAATTATTTTTAAAACCGATTAAACATTCGTAATATTAAAGCCGCCATTGCGTTTAAATTTAATACCAACGCAAATATTCTGTTTTATATGCAATTAATTTGCATTAAATATAAACATTGTATATATATATACATACATATATATTTATATGTATTCTGAATATAAAAAAATTAAATTTAATTCTGAACCCCAGAACATTGATTTAATTATTAGCTAAAAACCACAATTTAAAAATATATTTATTTATATCACATATATAAATAAATATATAATATATATATTTCTTATACTTTTAAAGTAAATACTCATAATTAAAATTTTGTACAATTTAATAATATAATTTATTGCTTTAATAATGAAACAATAGCTGAGTGCGATCCAGTTTTTGTTTAAAAAAATTTTATTTGAAATATCTTTAAACTTTGGCTTGAGAATGAAATTTTGAAGCGTTTTCTAATTTTTTTTCATTATAATTTATCATTTGACTATTTATAGTATTTAATAATTTCAAGCAAAAGTGAAACTAGCTCCATAGAAATGTCAGAGAAGACAGAAGCTAGCACCGCAATAATTCATACATGCAAAACACGTACCCAAAATTTACGGAATCGGAATACTTAATGGAATATAATTTTTATTGGTTAGAACACGAAATGTAATTTATTTTTGATTAATTTGCTAATTATACAATAGCAGAATATATTGCATAAATTAATATCATAAGTAGAACTACTACAGTTAAAAATGCACAAAAAAAATTATTTTTAAGAAATTAAATGGAATGTGAGAAAACATATATGAATTAAGTTTCAGAATAAAGAATGAAAAATATATAAAACTCATTTTATGAGATTCAAATTAATGCGATTAGATTATGTAGAGAACACTCATATCCATCTAATGAATATTAATCTCAATAAAATATTATATGTGAAAACTGACAGTTAAGCCACAACCCAGTCGATATAATACTTTTTAATAAGACTGTAAGTGTATGATTTGAAAGCATAATTAAGGGAAATTGAGATTAAAACTACAGCAGATTATTTAATCAAGCTATATCTATTCACTACCGAAGATCAGTACATGCTGTTGAGAACTATCAAACATCTGAAGTCTTTAGAAGTGCAGTAATCCTTTATCATAATGCACATAATACTGCATATTTACTAACAAGAAATCTTAATCTTTTGTTGGATATTTGCGTGAGTAAAACTTAAACGGAAATAGTCAAGTTTCCTATCCCATCCTTCCAATTGGTTATATATTCTTTAAGGAAGTACACATAATCTGCAGGTTAAAGAGCGCATTATATAAGTTAGTTACAAAATTCCATGTTACAATATGAGTTTTGAGTGCATTCTCTTATATAACTATTGCACTTACTATACTATTATTTATAACTAATGCATAAACCACAGCTATATAAAATAATGTTCTTTTCAAATTTTTGTTTTTACAAATTCATCTTCTTTCAAACAATACTATTCGATGATATGTTTTACAGCGTCAGAACAAAACTTTAGTTTTCTATCCCAACATTGCTAGAGTTCTACGTTAATCCCAATGCTATATTTATATTGTAACATACTCAAGAATAGGATTACGATTTGCATCCTAATCTACGCTATAGCATACTATAGGCTATAGGAGGCTATATCCTAGGAGACTAAGAAATAAATGATATTAGCTTGCTGTCATCGGTTGTTGAACAGGTAACATAATGATGACGTACGCTTGCGAAGTACTTCAATTACTGTAGATTCAACTAAGTATAATCAACGAGTGACTCTTAAATAGAAAGATAATACACAATCCGGACAAATCTACACTAATTACGATTATATTCTGATTACACAATTTAGGTCAACAAAATACCTGGATATATATTTCGACAGCAAAATTACATGAAAGAAGTACTTTAATGCCATGGAGTAGCTACTCTTTAAAAAACGAGAATAACTTTTGTTCAATTAAATTTCGGGAACGAATTGTGCTATATTAAATCCGGTCGAAATCTAAATTTTACAAGGTTAGTGTACTGCAAAAATGCTAATTTCGAATTCTTACAAATAATATGCACAATTTTTAGATTTTAACAAAGTACTCCATTTACTAGGACCATAATATCTCTATTGTAAAAGAAAAATAACCACATCCATCACTAAATACATATAGTAGAGTATACTGTAATGATCTATCGTGAAACTTATTTGATAGTTATAGTTCCTGTGACTAGCTTTTGTAGAGATTTGACATTTGAAACCTACGAAATGAAATTATAATAAATACGAGGTATTATAAATAATCCTTACTGTCTTAGATGTCTGTCTTAGATATTAATGAATAGGCACTAACGTAACTGCCTTTTATTAACAAAATTTGTTTATAGTTAACACAATTGAATATAAAAACGAGAAACAAAAATAAAAAGTTATGGTCAATCTTACGGGTTGCTTCGTTGAAGAGGACAATTGTGATAAAAAAATTTGTACTGAGTGCAGTTAACATGGTTTAAGTAATGTTATCAGATCTAGTTAAAAAAGAAATTAGTTCGTTTTTAATAAATTTCAAATAGTCTATAAAGCTTTTTAAAGATACGCACAATTAGGCAGACCCTGAAAGTGTTGCAAATTTTTCTTGTTGTATAAGATATTTCATATACACTTCTTCAACACTAGGTTTACTAAATACCGAATAGAAATACATCTTTGACCATCCATAAACAATTTTTTTTATATAAACCTTAAACAAATTCTCACCAGTGTTATCTACAAGTTCATCCTAAAAAATCTATCTTTTATCAATCCAATCTTTTAGCAGCTTACTCAATATCATCTAACATAATCTAGTGGAGTATATGATTACCTTTGAACGGTAAAGTTGAATAATAAAAATTGTCTTAAATAAAACTTATTTACATTTTTAATTGCTTTATTGCACCTTCATTGCTATTTCATTACAGTTTTACGTTTCAAAATTAATTACAAACGAAATAAAATAAAGTTTAAGTTTAATTTTAATCTTATAAATAAAATTTAATACATACAATAAATTGAAGTAAAGCTAAGCTATAAAAAATATTATTTGTAACAATATTCAAATTACTTTGGTAAATGTCTTCTTTCATTTTTTTTTTGTTATTATTTAATTACTTCGTGTTTAGGATAGATCAGCTTCACATTTAATACAAGTTTTTTATTTTAGTTGAAGTGTTTTCCTACCGCAACAATTACCAGTAGTGTCCATAGTGACCAAGGTGGTGATAACCTCCGTAGTGTGAATACTGTGGATAACCTGTTGAATTAAAAAGTCAAAAGATATCATTGAAGAGGAACCAAAGGTGAGTGTGCGTTAGATATAATATATTAAACATTTTAAAGCAAATAGTAATAAATAATAAATTAAAATATAAATATATATTTGTAAGAATAGCACTATATACTTCATTAAACATTAATATAATCAACTAAAAATTAATAATTTCAAGTAAGAAATCTCCATTACTGGAGAAAAATCATTAAGTGATATATTTAAGCTAAGCAGTGATCTTTCATTATTTTTTTAGTTCAGTTCTATGTATATATGTACGAAATCACAAATATCAGGCTTTGAAATCTATCAATATAAACCGTAGACTCGTGTACTAGACCACTAAGTCTTCATATTTATATTTTAATACTTATTATTGTTGTAAATAAAACTATGTGTATTTTTAGTCAATAAAAGGAGGTAGGTATATGAGTGAATATATAAAGATCCCAGATTATTACCTATTTAAGTGGTTTAGTAATCTACCTAACTTAGAGTTATCGTTATTTAAAAAATTCCATTATTATATTTAATTTAATAAATCTTTAACATTTCCGAAATCAATATTTGTAGTAATTAATACACAAAAAAATCAATATATGAAGTAGTTCTCGAAAAAAAGTTTCTCAAGGAATACAGCCTAGCTCCTCTCTAAGGTTGTGCATCTGCAGAATAAGTGAAAGCTTAAAAGTTCTTTCTCCTTCTCTTGGTATAAACCGCGAAAATAATTACTTAGAACTTTTAATCTTTGTGAATGTCTATCTGTTGATGATTCTCTGCTTTAAAGTGAAGTAAAGTTACCGATTTTCTTTTACCTAAATGGGTTAGAAGACGAGCAGATTTGTTTAGCTTTAAACTAACACAGTGCATTTTGAACACTTGATTTGTGTTTTTTTGAAGAAAGATTAATATAGAATAAAGTGATATGCTTATATACTTTAAAATTGATATTTGTAATGGTAATATATTCAATAATTCGATATAAATTATATCAATAATCATAACTGCTTATAACAAAATTGTGCACAATGATATTCCATAATCCTCCTAATTAAATATTTAAAGATTTTATAAGAAATATTCCTTATAGAATATTACAGAAACACTGAATTTAGTTGGTAGTACTCTTTATATCACATAAATTTACTACAGATTTACATATCATTAATATAGAAATTTTTATCATTGTAATATCCTTAGCCGTCTTATACACCTTAAAATATTATACCAAACACTAAACAAATGATAAAAAAGTTCGTAAAGAACACTTTTCGGATTCAGGAAGTTTAAAAATTTATTTTAAAGCAAGATAATAATAATAATTACTTGTTTCCAACAATTAAATATCTGGAGCTTTAATATCTCTATATATATAATGTGATTAATTTAAAAAATCCATTAAAAGTATAATCACTGAATGCTTTAAATTGATCTTTAATATTTTATGATCAATTTTGAAGATTATTTATTAATGAAAACTGAGTAATGTTAGTATTTTTCCTTTTAATTTATATAGTGTATTCTAATTCGTACTAAAAGATTATTATATTATTAACAAATATTTTTTAAAATAATAAGAGCATTCTGTTAGAGTTTCACAAGTTGAAACATATAAACACTGTTCTTCTATCCACATACTATCTAATTGCTTATAATTTAGTTTTCAAACTAAAGTCCTTGCAATCATATAATATTTGTGAGATATGTTGACATTTCTAATAATTAAAGCTTACCAAAACCACCATAATATCCTGAATAGTAGGGATAATATCCGCCATAGTATCCGCCATAATACGGTGAATCATAATAACCATATCCAATCGAAGAAGAACTCTGCAAATCATCTTTTTCCGCACCTTCAGCACCTGCAGCTCGTGCACCTGTATCTAGATCCTCCGCTTCCACAGCTTGAGATTCTTCTGGTCTAGGATGTGGTGCTGCCGTCGCTATATCCATAATTGTTGCAATGCATAAAACGAATAGACACAATAAAACTGAGCACTTCATTATTATAAGGATATGTAATTTTATATATAATATAAATATAAAAAAAAACAATTTTTATATTTTCGCAAAATGAACTGCGAATTTTTTACAAAACTTTCGAGTTTATTGCAAGTTAAATGTATCTTGACGATAACAAAATTACAACTGACAGTGAAGCGAACAATAAACGCAGCTTTTATAATAGATAGAAAAATAGCAACAAATTACATTAATTTTCCAAAAGAAAATTATGTATAAAAACAAAGTACACAAGCGATAAACGACACTTGAATATTGAGAAAATAAAATAAAAACACGAAACTTCTGATTGCAAATGTCTTCAAGGTTCGGTGCTGGATTAGCTTTACAAGCACCCCCTCGACAGAAGACAATACTCGCTTGGAATCAAGACTTAAAACAATGACGACTATAAGGTGAGGTTGTGGAGAAATAATAATTATACATTAATTATAATTAAATAAATTACAATATTTCTCTATATTTCTCTATTAGAAATTAGAAGTATGAAATTAAAAATCCCCTTTTAACTACAACACTGTTTAGATTATTTTTTAGAATTTTTTTTCTCTTCTGTGACTTTAGTTGCGTGAAGAATGCATCATTGAACGACGCATCGAGATACAAGTGCTGCGATTGACCGAGCCTATGGCTATTTAAAATTTGCTTCAATTTAGGCTAGGTTTTGCCTGCGTACGAGTACTTAGTTTTAAATAACTTTAGAGGCTAATAGCTGAGGGGCGCGGCAACAGTCTGCAGTTTCTATTGTAAGTTTCAAAACAAAAACACCGACTTTTCAACATTGCTTCTTGCATGAACGATTACTAATTATATTGTTTCTTTTCTAATTTTTTTCTGTTCTTCATTCACTTATGTCGCTTATGGGTGAGTGCTTGAGTGAGGCCAATGTCAAAGCTTAAGAATCTGACGAAATTCCCAGAGTTAATGTGACTTATTGTTGATAATTAGCAACAAAATAGTTTCTGTACAGAAATCTGAAATTATGGATACATTAAAATATGCAAATATTTTTCTATAATTATTTATTATTTCATAATTGTAATTCTTTGTTTTATTTATTAAATATTTTTAATAATAACTATTTGTTTATTGTGATATTTAAAATCTCTTTATTTTAACAATGAAATCAATTGTGTTTTTATATTTATTATGATTGTTTATTCTACCTTACAATCTCTCTTTAGTATTTTAATATAAATATATATACTTTGGTATGTAAATATACCATATGTTTACACATAATAAATCAAATTTTTTGCGTCGATATGTGACAATGAATGAAACATGGATCCATCACTTCACTCCGGAATCAAAACGATTATCATCTGAGTGGACTGTAGCCAATGAACCACATCCGAAACGTCCAAAGGCACAACAGTCAGCTGGGAAGGTTATGACTTCAGTATTTTGGGATTCACATGGTATAATTTTGATTGACTATCTCGAAATGGGAAAAACCATCAATAGTAACTACTACACGGCATTACTGGATCGTTTGAAAGCAGAAATTGTGAAAAAACAAC